GGACCCTCATGGGGAGCTCACCCGTTGGACTCGATGCAAAACGTGTTCTGTGATCGTGTTTCTATGCTACACGTCTTCTTGCAAGTGTTTAATATGGCCATTTATTAAATGGCCATGTTAGAAGCCTTTCCTTCTGCTTCATGTGAATTTTGGGGGGTTTTGCTTTTTTGGGGCCTTTTTTTTTTCTCCTCCTCTCCCCCTGGCTGGCACGCAGCCCTGCTGATAAGGAGCTAACACCATCCCCACTCCTTTCAGAGGGTAAATAGAAATGTTCAATATCCAGAGCTGTTTGCCAGCAGCTTTCAGAGACATGTCTGCTCTTTTTCTTTCTAAATTAGATTTTTCTATTACAACTTCAAGGCCTCGTGAGTCTCCCTGGCATTTATTAAATAACAAGTAAACTCTTCAATTTACCATGTTGCTACACGATCCCGGTGTCCTCCATGCAGCTGCCTGCTTGGAGGCCGAAGGATCCGAACGGCACAGGCTGTATGGGAGGACGTGGGATCCTGAGTCCTGGTCCGAACCACCAAAATATCATTCCTGGCGGCTGTGCAGGAAAATTTTGGTCAAGCCACACAATATTTGTACCCCAAATACTGACAGAGCTCGAGGCTTAGACTGGATTTCACCTGGGTCGTTTCATCTGTGCTGCTTCCACCAAAACTCAATGGCAGCAGCTGCACTTGACACTTTCCGTTTGGTTTCACCCCGGAATTCAGGGATGTGTTTGGAGAATGCAAAACTGCCACAAGCAGAAGAAAAAGGTCTGCAAAGCCTGAAGCTGATGGTTTCCCCAGTATCCCAGGCACAGATGGGAAACAGGACCCCTGTTTCCAGGGAAAGGGCCGCACAGCAGAAACACCTGGAGTTTTAGCACAGCTCAGTACCAGAACTGCAACTGGCCACGGAAGTTTACCCGATACCAACCTGCAAGGTAAGTCCTTTAATCCTTATTGTTTCTATTTTTCTCGATGAAGAAAAGAAAAATAGCAATAATCTGAGCTCCATATGGACCCAGCAGCCCTTTTTGCTGCCAATTTGTTGCTGTAAAGGGGATGAGCAGATCCTAGGGCTGGGGAGGCTTTAACAGCGGCATGTCCAGCAGATCCCTCCCAAGCAAGGGCACATGCACCAGGACATTTATCAGGCTCCCAGCCGCAGCTTTGACTTTAATTTTACTTTTAAGGTGCATTCACATGCAAATCGGCTTGGCCTGGGAGGAAACATGAACACAAGGGCCCTTTCTCTGCTCCAGAGTAGCACGAGGAGGAACATCATGAAACAGGCAAAGTTTCCTCACCTCTGTGCCGCGATTTGGCAGCTGGGGGAAAGGAGGTTTAATGTTTCCTTCTGCACGCTGTGCTGTTTGCAGCAGTCTTACTTGAGCAAGCAGTTTCGGAGCGGTAAAGGACGTTAGGCATCTCCGGGAAAGGAAAAGAGGGAGGAATACGACTTATCAGCTCTGTCTTATCTCTGAGATAAATTAAAATGAGCCATTATAGCACATCACAGGTTCGGAGCACAGTGAGCTCCTGCATCTCCACACAGGCAGGACCAGGGCCGGTTTGGTTGTTTTTCCACCTGCCAAAGAGCGAAGATCCCTGTGAGGATTTAATGGTGGCTGGTTTTGGTTCCCTTCCCATGGAAGGTGGCTTGAGTGAGCGTGGGACTGGTGAATCTGGGCACTACGCTGCAGGGTGGCCTCAGGCCTTGTGTTTTTGGAAAATGCTGTGTTTGGGAGGCACTGGTCTCAAAGTGATGGCGAGACTCGCTAAAATGCATGAAATCCCCTATTTCTCTCTCCCACATGTGTCTCGCATGCATGGGGCTCGCAGCGATGTCGGGACTCCCCAAAATGCACAAACCCCCCCAGCTCCCCTCCCAAGGGGCTCTGGAGCACGGAGCACCCCTTCAGCTAAACAAACAGCCCTAAATTCCTGTCATAAACGTAAACCTCGCGCCCCAGCGACGCGGCTTTCCCCCCGCCAA